AGCAAGCAAGATTAAAACAATTCCGACTTGAGCAGAAGCGCAAAGAGAAGAAATTAAAAGAAAAACAATGAAAAAAAAGAGATTAAAGGCGGAAGGAAAATTCCTGACAACGACAGGAACAGAAATAATAACTGTAACGACATTTCATTAGCTCCAGAAAGTCCATAAAACATAACGAAAAATTACCTTAACTCGTAATTCCTTTAACGGCTGCGGCATAAGAAGTGAGCGAATTTGTGTTACAATAGGCCCGTCCGTACCAGCGATGATGACTGTATCACCTTCTCTTAACATCCCATTGACTAGAATACAGTCTATCGTAGTACCGAGTCCGGGCAATGCCTTGACTTCCAATACGGTAGCCTGAAGCTCTTCGCTGTACATCAATCTTTTAGCCAGAGGACCCTGACAGGCATCGACTATTAACGCCAACAAATTGCCCATACCTTCGCCTGTACGTAATACAGTGAGATGTAAAAAAAGAGTTCAGATATTCCCAGATGCTAGGTCCTATTTTCAATTACACATTTGTATAATTTTAACGTCGTTTTACCTGTTATGGCACTGGTAGGAACCAACGACACGTATTCTCTGGGATCTGGATTCTCATAATACACTGCCGCATTAAGACCTTGCTCGGCAAACTGTACAATAATGTCCTTCGACCGCCTCTCGAACTCTCGCTGCGTATTAGATTCTTGATTCTTAATAATATCTTGAACATCCTTACGACTCATGGTTTGCCAATCGTACAATCTGAAAAAATTAAATTGTCATGACTCTACGACCTGACCTAACTCGTAACGTGGAACACAAATTATACAATTGCAAGTATCTCGGAGCTGTCAGTTACTTAATTGTGTAAATTACCTGTCGATTTTATTGAGAGCGACAACAAAAGGACATTTTTTTGCTTTCAATAAATTGATACTCTCTATAGTTTGCGGTTCCAACCCGTGCATAATATCTACAACTAAAATTGCTATATCACAAAGAGAGGACCCTCTGCTCCTGAGATTGCTAAACGATTCGTGGCCAGGTGTATCTATGATCAAGAGACCAGGTATTTTAAATTTCTTGTCGGCAAACTAGAAACAAAAAGATAACGGTATACATTGTAATGTAATCAGAATTTTCAACTGCTCAGAGATTCAGGCTCTCAAGTGAATACTTACACCTTTTACGTGCCTAGTTGAATCTTGGATGGCTTCGATGGGAACATTAGTAGCACCAATCTGTTGAGTTATACCACCAGCTTCCCCGTCTTGCACATTCGTTCTTCTCAGCTTGTCTAGAATCTTCGTTTTACCCGTATCGACGTGTCCCAAAACGCAGACGACGGCGGCTCTCAAATTATCCAAAGATTTCTTCTTCTCCGCCTCTATACGGCGATTCTGAATACGTTCTTTCGCACGTTCCTTTTTACGTGCGGCATCTGGCACTTTATCCTCCACCTCGCTGTCCTCGTCGCTCTCGTCCTCGGATTCCGACTCGCTTCCGCTTTCGCTCTCTGTATCGCTCTCGGATGATCCTTTCTTTTCTAATTCTGAGGCCGAGACTTTTTGAGGTTTTTCCATTTTTTCGTGTGTCTTTAGAATATCATCTGATTTATCTGAAATTAATTTAGATTTAATTATTTTAATGTCATGAATTATACTATGTAATAATGTCTCTAAATAAACCACATAGTTTATAGAAAGAAGGTATAGAAAGTAATATATATACCTTCTTCTTCCTGTTCGTCATCCGTGCTCTCGGCATCCCACGAATCCTTAACGTCGTCTTCTTCTTTCTTTTCCTTTACTTCCTTCGCTGGCTCATCTATAATTTCCACTTGCACTTGGGCCGCAGACGTTTCAATATCCTCGATCTTTTCGTCCTCTTTCTTTTCTTCCACACTAACTTGCTGCTTCATCTTATTTGGCCTGATTCGCGTCCCTAAAATAATTCCAATAATTAATATAACGAGTTCAATCATTTTCTTTACAAATATTCTGCAAAAAATAAATACAATACCTGGTCTAGGTTTTTTCTCTCCGGCTTCTGGCAAATCAAAACCTTGAGCTTTAAGCGCTTCAATCATCGCTTGCGCTCTAGCTCTATCCTGTTTCTGTTTCGTTGTCAGGAATTTTCCTTCCGCCTTCAGTCTCTCTTTTCGTTGTTTTTCTTTTAATTTCTTCTTCTCTTTGCGCTCCTGCTCAAGTCGTACTTGTTCTAATCTTGCTTGCTCTCTAATTTCCTCTTGTCGTAACCTTTCTTCTTCTTCACGCTTTAATCTCTCTTCCTCTTCCTTCAATTTCTTTAAAGCCTCCTGCATAGCGGCGATAGTTTTCTTCCCAGGTCCTTTACCTATTACAAAATTATGTTAGAAAAAAAAACAACAAACAAACAACAAAAAAATTACCCAAGCAATCATGTTTCAGTTAGTATCACAAATTACCTTTCTCTTTAGTCTCTTCCTTTCCAGCTTTCTTCTTTTTCTTTTTCGTACTATCTTCAGGCTCAGCGGCATCGCCATCAGCTTCTACGCTATCCTGTTTTTTAACTTTATCGTTTTTCTTTTCCTCAGAAGCTGCAGTTTCAGTCTCTTCTTTCTTGCTGCCATCCTTAGAAATTTCCTATAAAAAATTAAATAATACATTTTATTGAGAAGAAATAATTCATTCATTAAAAGAAAAATTTTACATAACAGAAAGACATTCTCCCTTATTAAAAATATTGTGTTTCCCGTTTGAGATAATGTAATGTATTATTGAAATTAATATTTGCGGCTGAAGCCGCAAGTAAAGTCGAGTTTTAATTATTGAATTATTGCAATCTTTGTTCGTTTTATTAGCCTTTATTCTCTCGAGTTTTTATTTTCTACATTTTATCTATCTTACTTACCGCTTTTTTCTGAGCTAACTTTTTCTGCTTTTCCCTCTCCTTCTTTTCTTTCTTCTTTTGTGCTGCTGTTTTTACAGTACTAATTTCAGAATCCATGTCACCAATTTCAGTATTATTTAACTCTGTTTCTATTATATTATTGTCTGCAGTTTCAGTTTCTTTGATATCGTCCTTCTCTGCCTTTTCCTTCTTCTTATCCTTCTTCCCTTTTTTCTTTTTATCTTCACTGTCATTTTTTTGCTCGTTCGATTCTGTTTTACTTTCAACTTTGTCGTCTGCAGCTGATTTCTGTCCAGAATACTCCAGTGCCAATTCCGCCAATACCTGTTCAATGTCCTCGTCGCTGTCATTGCGCTTTCTCCTACCTGTTGATGCATATCACAAATATTGTTTGCAACTCTAGCAGAACATTAGAAAGTTAAACTTATTATATAATTAAATATAACATATATCTAAAGCTGGTTCTACATTAGTCGCATCGCACCATCGCAAACGCTGTGATCCTGTTGTGATCCAATCAGCGTCGAGCTAGCTTAACGTTGACTGGATCTCTACTGGATCACAACGTTTGCGACGCTGCGATACAACTAATGTAGAATCAGCTTAATGTATAATCACAATAATTCTCCTAATTAACTAATCTATTGATATAGTTTTAAATTTGTCAAACAATATTTGACGTGCACTTGATGATACAAAAAGCTCTCGCCAAACCAATGAACTTCAAAAATTTAGAGATATCAGCACAAACAATAAATTAGATTGGAAAATTGCAGTAAAACGTAGCTTTTCTAACAAATTTCATAAACCCTGATTCTAAGCACAATACAATTCTCAGGGATCTTAAACTTTCACTACCTATGTACGTGTCCACTTATTAAGGACAACAGTCACTTTTTCACTAGATTTAATTGGAACAACTAATAGCGCTACAAAAATTGCAGCCAATTTATAAATCTTCTCTATGGCCTTCCTATGCAGCCTGATCCTCCGTAACGTTATCTAATGTCAGACATTATTAGAACGACAGAATATAGAACCGCTGCCAGATTTGTTACGACGGTGCCCGTGAGACGCAACATAGGACGTTCGCGGTGTCGCGTAGGTGCCACGTATCGAGTATCATAATCGCCATATGCGGCGTCCAGGAGACAACGACCGACGACGACGACGACGACGACGTCGACCGCCCGATCGCGAGCAGGATCGCGCGCGGATCGAGATTGAGGTTAGGTCATAGCAGACGACACTTGCCACATCGGAGCACGGCATGCACGCACGCACGCACGTACATATGCTAAATCTACACGCGTCAATCCGAGGGATGCGAGCACTTTCTCGTCGCCGACCGGCCTCGCTCACCTTTCTTCCCCTTTTTCGGCTGCGACTCCTGCATCCTGGCTGCTGCCGCGATCGACTGCTCCGCTCAGCTTTCTCCCCGATTCCTCACGCTCTACCTCACGTTTCCCCGACAGGCTGCCTCGGCGATCGGATCACCGGCGATGGTGCGTACGTTGTTGATCTTCGGACGAGGGACGGCGTGATGCTCGCGCGTCGCCGAAGATGAAGAGTCATGCAGGCGCAGAAAGGAAGAATCTCTCGTGCGGAATCGCCACGAGCGTGCTCGCGACCCGGTCTCTCGGAAAAGCAGGGCGGTACGTACGTACAACACAGCTGGGTGGCAGCTCATGCGATCAAACACGCACGTGTGGTAGTAGTGGCCGTAACGGCCGCTCCGCAGGAGGACACGATGGACGACGGGGTCACGTGACGCGACTCGACCAGTCAGCTCCGTGCGACAGTCGATATTGAATCTGTTGAATCGACCGCGCCACTCGTTGGCCACCGGTCGAGTACGAGTCGAGCGCGCAGTTTTGATTACCGTCGCCGCGTGCGCGCGATAGTCTTAACGTAATGACGTAATTACGCTATACGTAATGTCCGCTTCCGGCTTTGGCATTTCTGTCAAAGTTCAAACGCTTCCTTTTCCCGATGCACTTCGCAACGCGCCAACCGCAACCTTGCGAACCAGCGCGATCTGCTGCTCGCGGATCGTCCGCGGATCAATAAGCAATTGTGATCGTCGAAGTTGTATAATTATGAAATCCAAAGGAATTTACATATTCAAAATAATTGACAAGCGATCGTTCCTTTGGAAATTTTCAGAATCATTATCATACATACATATATATATATATGTATATATATGTATATATATATATATATATATATTTGTAATTCATAATTATATTTTTATACAATAACAATTATTGTACACATATAATTTCTCGCATATAATCAAGGCAAATATTGTTGATCTTGATTATGCATCAAGGCCTGGATGATTTTCATTATCTTTATATATCAATTAATCTTTTTTTAACAGTTATATAGTAAAACGTGAAATAAAAAAATAATTGTTATAATTTAAATCTGTCGCCTAGCTCATCTTATCTTATCCACCGTAATAAATCAGCGGTTCAATAAAACCTTATGATTACTTTACTTAACATTCTTAATAGTGTCTACATGAAAGTTTACGACAATCTTAAAAAAGTTTGTTTTAGGGATACACGGATACACGTGTATCCCTCATATAATTAAACGTACGTGCTTTCTCAGATAACACAGAGAATAAAAAAGGAACTCAATTATATAATGTCACTAATTTCGAGTTCATTTTCAGATGCAAAAAGATTTTTTTTTCTAAAAAAGAAATTCTTTTTGCATCTGAAAATGAACTCAGAATTGATGACATAAAACTGTAAATATATTAATGAATTCTTTTGAGCTCTAAGTGCTATCTGAGTTATTATCTCTTAGTCAATCACTATAATACGTGATTAAATAATGCGTCACCAGATAGCACGGAAAATTCAAAAAAAATTCATTCGCATAAGTGTTTAATCGTCATATCATTAATTCTGAGTTTATTTTCAGATGCAAAAAAAAGTCTTTTTCAAAATTTCTAGAAAAAGAATTCTTTTTGCATTTGAAAATTAATTTAAGGTGCCATTTCATGCGCAGTGTGCAGTCGCAGCAATTCATTACTGTTGATTAAAAATATTACTTAGATGACACACTTCCGGCGCAAAATACATTTTGCCGCATCTATTATTGAAATTCAACTAAAGAACAGCAAAAGCGAACGAGCAGCAAAGCCGAAAAAGCCGTGTCAACCGTGTGCAAGCCGTGTGTTATAAACTTGTGATACATATATAATAACAGAAAATATAATTCGTGATGTGATATACAACAGAAAATATAATGAAAAATTGCGGAAGAAATACGGAAACATGTTTATGAATAATTGATTTTTAATAAACCCTAATAGGTCTAATATATGTATAACAATTGAGATCAACTTAACAATCTATCGATATCAAAAACGTAAATGATAAACCGCGCAATTATAACTTTTTAAACCTGATTATTATAAAGTGGTCTTATATTGTAACTTAAAAAAATTATTGATTATTAATAACTAAAATAATAAGCTATGAACCAGAACAGGGTTATTTAATTGTCAATATAATAAGATACGTTCAAATGCAATTATACAATACGATATACTCAACAAATATATCGCTATTTATATTTATACTTATATTAATATTATATATTATAAATTAAGGTTAAACTTCAATATATTGCTGCAAAATTCCTTTTCATACGCAACAAATGCGTTGGAAACGATTCTGGAAAATTTGAATCACATGACATTTTGCTGCTACTGCGTGCTGCATATAAAAAGACACATTTAGAATGACGTACAACTGAATTCTTTTTAAACTCTTACACCTGTGCTATCTGGGTCGTAATAAATTTCTGTTATGTGCGCAAAACACTGAAATAACAGCCTAGCACGACAGCATTTGTAATTTGACCAATTAACGCAACGCAAAAGAAAAGCATTGAATTACAATACATTTAAACAGATAAGATATGGTTTCATAGGCATTTCGAAGTAGTGTTTTAATATAGAATTCGTACATTGTAACAACTTTGATAATAGGGTTATTGATGATAACGGAGTAAAAAGCTATATAATACTTGACAATCTTCATACGTAATTGTGAAAATTTAAATGCCTTTTATAAAAGCTGTATGTAAAATGGAAAAATTTTAAAATTGATTTCTTATTTTTTAATTAATTTAATTTTATATACGTATATTATGTTCAAAGCAATTATTAATTATATAATAAAAATTATTTTACTTATATCAATCTCAATATATCGGAATAATATTCAAACTCACACGTACGATTCTCATCAATTTCACGAAAACAAAGTTGTGATTCGTTTACTTACAAAATATAGACTTATCTTAGGATTTTAAACTCTATTAATTACCTACATATTTTATTATTTTTTAAACCGTTTAATTCCCTCAAATAATGCTTAATATAAAGTATCTCGTTAAAACTTTTATCTTCCAATTTGTGTTATCTTACATGTTTTAGAAGAAAAGAAAACAAAGAATCTATTGAAAATTTCCGACATACATACAAATAAAAAGATTTTCTCCTACCTAAATGGTTCCTTATATATCTTTATTTATTATTTCCTAATAAGTTTACCATTCTCTCAGTTATTATTATCTTAATAAAATCTTCTGCCTTCTTAATAAAGATTCATCTTTTTATAACGATAATGGAGCTGTTGAGCCAAGCTAGTGTAACGTGCTAATAATCTCATTTTGAACTGGGATAAGATTATTAGCACGTTACACCTAGCTTGGCTCAACAGCTCCATTATCGTTATAATTTGATATGAGCCTTTCATAATTTGTCTAATTTAAAATTAAAATTCATCTTTTCCTTGAATTACTCAGTTCCCGTCTGTAATTCGTAGCGAACAAACTTTGACTTAGCATACCTATATATTATATATAAGATTAATTATTTATCATCGTCTAAGTAAAGACTTCACCGAGATTCTCTTATTCATTCGACAGATATTACGTTGCGTAACATTACGATTTTATGGACATTGATAACTGTAAGTTCAAAATGCCTAGCAAAAATAAAGCGATTGTTAATAAAAAAATATACGATTGAAATAAAAGTCTAGCATTATTTACAAAGAGGAAGATAACGAAAGCGATATGAAGTCCTCATAAAATATAAATTCAAATGTCGAAATGTAAGAGAGAAGCGTTAACCAAGTGTCATATCCAACTCTTTGATAACTTACAACGCAACGAAAAGCGCAAGGAAGTACGGCCGTGTGCTTTTATATGAAGAATTAAAATTCGCGAGTCGATGTTTATCCCTGCGATATTGTTCCAGACTCAGCTATTCCACTTTTTATGTTATCGTGTTGTATAAATTAACATGTTTGAACGAATTATTATAAATTATCGCAAGCCGTTGGAACTCGTTTACCGGCTTAACAACCAGGACGACATTATTCAAACGTCTTGTTAAAACAAAAGTTTTTTGCCCTTTAGAAAAGAAAAACAATAGCGCTGCGGCGCACAACGGTAACGCTTGTCAATTTCCTCATCTGGAAAAGGTAAACTAATATAAATATATACCTGTAAATAATAAAGATCGTAGTATTAATATAATCGCGTCTACGCGGACCGGTACAAGATCGTGATTCAACACACATTACATTTCATTCTATTATTATATAATTTTTACAACAGCTTTAATATTGGAATATATGTATGTTGTTTATCCGTATCTCATCCATTGAAATATTTTTTCAACACCATGACAATATATTATTTTATATATATATATATATATATGTATAATACTTGATTACTGTATCTATACTGATATATTACACGATCGTATTACGAATATTACTCGTTAAAATTAGAAAAAAAGAGAAGTAGACGCCATTTTCTGCCTTCAATTTAGATACCAGATCTTCTCAGATTGTCACGCAAGATCATATTTAACTCTAATGTCTCGCATGTTGTAAGTTCTAATTACACCTTTTGTTGTTTTTGTTGAATCATTATCTTATATAACGATATACGTATATATAATTAAAATCTCTAATATTTTATGTCTTTTTGCTACAGAGACTGTTACCTGTTGAAATATTATAATTATTAAATTAAATTAAATTATTGTATTCAATTAAATACACAACATACAATATAACATGCAAATTTATATAATATGGTAACACAAAGAATAGGGTGATTAGTTAAAAATAAAATTGGGAATATATCGTACAAATGCATTTTAACTTTCTGCGCTAAAAAAAAGTACTTTTCGTACTCTTCTTGCCACGTTATGTAAGTTGTTCGTGCAAATGATTAAAAGCTATTAAAAACCGTAAATAATAATTAAATTGTTCATGATGTGCTTCAGTGGGTGATTTCACTTACATTTCGAAATTATTAAGTTTTTTACTTTTATGATATACATATACATATAAATCACTTAAATATTTTTTTTCTTTGTTCTCCTAGCAGAAATTATATAAAATTTTTCCTTTTTACCACAATGACATAAAAAAAGTTTTAAAAAAAGATGAGAATTCGCACCTTTTTTTAACCTTCAGATTAGTTGATTTACTCAACTGTCGTTTTAGCAAGCTTGCGAGTTCTTAACTTTACCAACGTTACAGATGATTTATATATTATTTATCTTTAAATTAACGCTAAGTTTATGGAAAAAAAAACCACAGAGGAAACGTATCATCAGTACTTTTGCTTGTCATTCGCTTGATGATTAAATGACAATTGCAAATGACAATTAAATGTTATCTTACCAACAGATTACCTGAGACGACTGATTATTCAGAATGACATAGTTTATGGCACGGACGAATTTCGTACTAATTCAAGCAAATCGGTAGTGTTATGCAGCAGGTAGTATTATAAGTCTTTAGCACACATGCTATCGTTTTCTATCCCCACTGTGTATTGTATGACTTAAACAGTAATACGTATCTAAAATTGTCAGTTTGTCATCGTGTGTAGCAACGTGCAGCCACTAATATGATATAATTCCAAAAGTGTGTGATTTGTCTATTTAACTTGCACACAATCACCTCTATTTATTAATTTATATTTATTAAATCGCCAAAATTTAACTCAAGAATTTAAATATTAATCAAATTAAAATAAAAATTAAATTTATATTAATCTAAAATATAATATTTAAAAGCTAAAATGATAGAATTTAAATAACTTTAAATTTAATCTGACGTTAACTGAGTTGATTCATTTTCCTTAGGTGCTTTGGACCAAAATTCATATAAAAATACGGATGAAAAATGCGAGTGCTATTAGTGATTTTCCCTTGGTTGTTGTGTCTGTCGATTTGCCATGGATATCGTTTGCTCGGACTATTTCCCTTTCAAGGCAAGAGTCATTTTGTTATGTTCGAGCACTTGATGAAGGGCTTGGCCAGAAAGGGCCATCAGATCGACGTGGTCAGCAAATTTCCACTGAAGAAGCCCTACCCAAATTACACCGATATCGTAAAGCTACCAACACCTATACATCTGGTGAACAATATGACATTTGAGTTAATGCAAAATTTGATCGGCGCAAATCCGACATACATTGTCGCGACGATGGCAGGAAACGATCTTTGCGAACACTTAGCAGATCCAGAAATAAAAGCTCTATCGCAGCCGAAGGATCCACCTTATGATGCAGTGCTTATAGAGGTATACAATGAAAAAGTCGCTATTTTCTTCAAATTAATAATAAAAATCTAACTATTAAACTATTAAAGAAATTATTATTTTATACTGTAGACATAATTTTAAAAAGATTCTTCCAATTATTCTTTTTTAATTGATTTTTACATCATATTTTTAGTAATATTTGGAAAATCTTTTTATAAAGATTTTGATTATATATACACAAAGATTGAGCATAAGATTAATTACTAAAAGAATTATATCTCTTAAATGGTTACAAAATATTATTTACTGAAGACCGCTTTTTCTTCAAATCTTTGCAAAACCTTATAATTAAAATATATAATTTTCTTATCATTTTAACGGTACATCTTGAAAACGTCGAATCTCCAGTATATATTTAATATCTTTAGAAAGATATGTTATTTCGACAGCTTCAATAGTTAGCTAAAAATTATTATTTGGTTAAATTATTTGCTGAAAAATATATATATCTACTTTGTAAGAATAATAAATTTCTTCATAAAACTAATAATTTTATAAGGAAGAAATGCACGTAAGTGAAGCACAATCTACAATATATTTGCGTCTCAATATTTCTATCAATAATTGTTTGACCTAAACATCAAATTTTATCGGACATTTTTCTTACTAACTTTCTTTATAGTATTGATAGTAACTTCCTGTCGTGACGTTCTGCTTCTAATCATCTCATATTACATGAACAGAAGGTCAATAGGCAACAAGCAGTTACACTTCTGACGTAAGAGATGAACTTTTGATTCTTTCTGCAATGTTGCAACAACACGAAATTGATACAATGATCAATCATATAACGACGACCATGACATGTATTAAAGTACTTTAAATTTCTTCTAAATGACCATGAATCAAAATAGCATCTCAACTAACGTATTTATAAATCTTTGACACGCCTTTCTCTTATCTATCAACAAACTTTTACAACTCAATGGAACGTAAATTTTTTAGGTAAAAATGTACTTAGACATATTAGATATGAATTTAATACAAAAAGCTTATCAGTTTTCCATGTTAAAATTTTCTATCAAGTTCTAGTAAATAAATGGAAAGAAATATAAAATTTTTAAAGAATTGTTTGAACAATTTCTTTTTTTTTAGTTAGACGAAATATATTTATGTCAAAGGTAAATTTTAATTAATACAAATTCATATGTATTTGAAAATCAAATACTTAATAACATACGTCGATACTAATTGCGCTCTCATTGCAGCCTTATATGTAAATGAATATTGCATAAATATTTGCATTATATTACAAAAATTGAATAAAATTTACCATTCCTTTTTCTTATCTCAGCATTCTAAATTAGCAAAACACCTTTTGCAAATATCTAGGACAAAATATCTAGGAAAGAGAATGACAGTCAACTAAAACTTGTTTGTTCTTGCTTCCCTTTATCTAAGCTAAAAAGATTGATTATTATTGCGATCATCATAACAACATAACAACATTGTACATGCAATGCGATATTACACATATGTAATTCTTGTTTTTTTATTTCATTTGATAAATGCGAAAAGCCTCTCTTGTCAATCAATAAATCTTCCTAAGTCAATAATAATAGTTAACTCGTGTCTAATATCTCAAGCTGATACAATAAAATCTTTTAATGGCCATTACTTTAGGCATTCATATGTCTTCTTAGGTTTTCGGTGCGCACTGCTTCGGTATCATCGCCCACTTATTGAACGTTCCCTTGATCGGGGTCAGCACCACGTCGCTGTATCCGTGGCTACCTCCGCTGATCGCTCAACCCGCGTGCCTGGCCTTCGTACCGAGCAACGTTTTAAGTTTCACCGGGCCCATGACTTTCTGGCAACGTCTGTACAACACCGTGCGCACGTACTTTGATCAATGGTATTTCGATTATCTCACGAGACGGGAGCAAGACAAGTTGATAAGGGAGCATTTCGGGCCGGATATGCCGAGCGTACGGGAATTGGAAAGGAAGGTGTCGCTGATCCTCATCAACTCTCACATCGCGCTAAATGGGATAGCGCCGAGGACACCTGCCGCGGTGGACGTGGCGGGGATCCATGTCCAAGACGAGGACCAGAAGTTGCAGCCTGTGAGTCGGCTCTTATGACCCGTTTTCGTGGCCGTTTTCACTTTTTCGATGTAGCGCACGCCGACGAATTACGCCCGCGTGCATAAATAATACTTGGTAATTTGAGTAACATTGATAACACTTCTCCGAAAAAAGATAGACAATTTGTGTGAGTCAGCAGTACGCAAAATGTTTCTTTTTTTTTGCAACTTGTGCATTTTCAAGGAAATTGCGCCGGAGATTAATGCTTGTCGGATTGGCGCGTGACAAAGAACTAGTAAAAATGGAAGCTGATATGTAAGATTAAGATTTCGCAACATAAAATACTATCGTTTTCTCATTACTCATCTGCGTATAAGATGCTTTGTAGACAGCTTATTATTTAATAATATATTATTTTTGCTTCTGCTTGGATCTGCCGGTCATGACTTGATAAATGCATTAGACCTGACAATTCTTCATCGCTTCACAATATCGTGAAATATTTCGCAATATAATATCGCGTCTTTTTTTCAAGCAGAAATATGGAATATAGAACAGTTTGAGCGGAATGTTCCATCTATCATAACTCATTGATCAGATGCATATGATAACACGACACGTGTCAATTTTTATTTGATTATCTTTATTTTATTTTATATATGTGTATATATTATATTATATATATATATATATTATATATAAGATAATATTAATAGTATTTTAATTAATAATATTTTATCTTATATATATATATATATATGTATATAAGATAAAATTGTTAATTAGCAAATATATAATTTGTTTTATTCGCGCTGAAACCGTCTGTCCTGCAGGAATTAGAGAAATGGATGAATGATAGCAAAGATGGTTTTGTCTATTTCACTTTTGGCTCGATGGTGATGATTGAGACGTTTCCACACGAATTCCTGAGAATACTTTACGCCTCCTTTAGCAAAATAGCACCTGTGCGGGTTTTAATGAAAATACCAAATCCGGAGAAATTGCCGTCCGGTTTGCCCAGTAACATTTACATGTCCCCTTGGATGCCGCAAATTAAAATATTGAGTGAGTTTCATTCTATCTATTTCATTTCTGCTTATTATAATATATGAAGATTTTATCAGTAGAGATCCGAAACGTTAAAACTCTCCGGTCTTTCAAGCAACAAATATGAAAATAAGTTTCATATTTCTCTGATATTTATTGTTATGTAAATTTTCAAATATGTATTGCAAATATTTGCAAATATTTAAAGTTTTTTTTAAGTAAAAACCTAATTGCAAATTTTTAACGTTTTTTTAAAATAAATTTACGGAAATTATAAAATTGTCTTAATATGCAATGCCGTAGAACACCCTAACATAAGAGCCTTTATCACTCACGGCGGGCTCATGGGCACGCAGGAAGCGATAACATGCGGTGTCCCCATGATCGGTATACCACTCTTCGCCGATCAATTCACGAACATCGACGCGTACGTTGCCAGAAACATTGCCCTGCGACTGGACATCAACACGATTACCGAAAAAAGCATGGACGCAGCCTTAAACACGATCTTACGGGACCCTCTGTACAGGTAGATAGACCCTATCTTCAATTTTGCATATTCGCGCAAATTACTACTCTGGCAGGAACGTATTTTATGTAAAAACTCGCGATAACATGCGTACTCCACTATTCATATCTTTCTATTTCCACAACGTTATGTTTGTGTTTAATCGTTATCTCGAATATGCATGCGTTTATCTTCTCGTTATTTTTAACGGTAACTATATCGAATGCATTTTTATAACTTTTCCACCTCTAGGGAAACTGCGCGGAACCTGTCCCAAAAATTCCTCGATCGACCATTGAACGCTGTCGACACAGCTAATTACTGGATCGAGTACGTTATTAAATACGGCGAGGATTCTCTGCGATCGCCCGCGATGGATCTGACCTGGTGGCAACTATCTCTCATCGATGTGATCGGATTTCTACTCTGTTGCGTAGCAATCTTTATCACTACAGTAGGATTTATTGTGCGTTTCATAATAGAAATGTTAAATGGAAATAACGGATTGTCATATTCAAAAAAGATAAATTGATCACATTAATTCCCAGACAACCTAGAAATCATTTAGACATCTTTTAGACGTATATGTGTTGTCTGGACTAGAAAAAAATAATATAGTGCTTTAATTTTGCTTTCTATTTATATCCTCGCAAAGGAATTTGTTCAAGGAGATATAATTACACGTTTCTTCTTAATAAAGGTATTGTTAAGGAATTATTATAATATAAATGAAGGGAGATTTTTAGGTTCAAATCTCTTTGATATTCTTTAACAAATATTTATTAAACGTAATATAATTCTTCGACAGATTCCCCCGGTAGCTTAATCTTACTCGCAGAAGCATATACGTTTATACGACGTTCCCCATTATGTACAGACACATTTATATTATTTTTGTATTACACCAGGCAAATAAATATATTTGCGTTTATAAAACCTAAAAATTCATGTATTCTTTTTATTGTCATATTGTCAATTGGAGTTCCCTCGTTTCGGAATGCTGAATTTTGATGTCGAGTTCTGTTTACACTCTAATAAAATTCTGATGTTGTATATATGTATATGTATATATATCGCGTTTTCCTCTATTGTAAAAATTCCGAATAACAACATACTCAAAAGCGTAAAGTACTTTAGTCTATATTTAGTATCGACGATTATCAGTAATGCACAATCGTTTTCTCCCGACGATTGCTCTCTCCGACTCTTTCTCGCGACTTAGCATAAAAATCGATTAAAACGCCACCAATTATTCTCTGCAGCATTACGCTAAGTCGAGTATTATGCGAGTGCGTTTGCCGCGCCTTCCTCGTTCTATCATTTCGCGTGAGTATTAAAAAAAGAAATACGCTACACAACAGTATGAATGTATACCGTTGCACGTTTACCTTTACACTGGTGGCAAATATTCGTTACCCGCTGGTAAGTTACTCTTTTGATAATCGTAGCCGTCATCGCTAGCGTCTATCTTAGGCTCGGATGGATACATAGTCTGTTTCACCCAGGCGATGTCGATCGGCGTGAATGTCGCCACCTAAGACAAGCACCGAAGGATCCGTAAAGTATCAAAAATTGATGTATCTTGGTAACGCGCAGATATAAAAAAAATGGATAAAAAAATTAAAGCGATAAAAAAATTATAGATGAAGCGTACGCTAAATGTTATTCGAGAGGAAATGAATGTGCTTTACTTGCTACTGCGATAAAATTATAATTCAATACAGTTCTTGAAAATAAAATGGAAAAGTGTAATCTAAAAAGTCTAATTTAATTACATCATGGAAGTTATTTTAATGTGAAATAAATTGCCAAAATTTATGCCAAAATCGTGAAATTGGTACCTGATTTGTGGGCAAGCAGCCGGTATCCTGGCTGTAAATCCCGGCGATGTGGTAGGCTCCGTTGCCGTCGTAACAAGCCAGCGGCGCACCGATGTCGGCCTGGCACATATTGTTCTCCTCGTGTGCTTTGCCGCAGATTATGTTATGCGCGACATTGATATTGGACTCCGTACCCAAGACACGATTTTGACAAACGTCGTGAGTCAGAAGATCCACGTCGACCATGTGCATGATGGCACCAGCGTAATGAGCTGTAATACATTTGCACCTTTGTATATTTATTCAATCTCATTTGTTTATCACGTATCTTTTTAGCATAGCTTAACATTGATGCGTAACATTCATTATTATTAAACGATGAAAACGTCGAGATATGTCTACCTTGCAATATCGACTTTCCCCATCCTGTCACGATGCATTGCGAGGTTCCTTGCACCTGATAGTTATCGGGAAGGCACAGCGTGTTGATATGCAAATTAAATGTCGCGGGATGCTCCAAGAGTAGCATAGCGGTATCGTTGCTGGGTAACCCCTCCACATATCCCGGATGATACTTGATCGTTTGTACATTGATGATTTGGAACGGCAGCGGCTCCTCCTGCGGAAGTTCGTAACCCAATTTCCACTCTCCGAGTTTCACGGACAGTTCACTCGCTGGAAATCTGAGGGAATTCAAATGCCTTTCAGTTGCTCAATCAATAAACAAATTGAATCTGATAAATAGCTATGAGAGATCTTCTTTAAGAATATAAATGTTTTTTTTTATTTTGCCTTTAAATTCGCTCTACACAACTTATATTTCGCGACAGAATTCTATTTATAATTTTATGTGTAAATTTATCGAAAACATTCAAAGAATCAAAATACGCGTATATTAAAATCGGTGCGTACTGTAAAAAATTGAAAATTTTTAATAGAATTTTATTTTAAGTTTCGTAAATTAATAAATCATTTAATGTATAATGTATGTGTGTAGATAGGTATGTATTACGTTTTCCTGAAATGTACCTATTTACGCAACTGGCAGCTGTCAGGACGATGTCTGGTGATATCAGCGCGCCAGAACACAAAATCTTACGTTCCTCCGACCACAGGACCATCGCTTGCCACGGAATCTCTCCGAATGCCGCGTCGGTCTCCCTGAAGCCGGTCGGGCGTTGTCCCTTTTGTACAGAAATACATATAAAATGTCCAGTCACGTATTATAAATAAAATCTTCCTCAAACATTTTCATAATATTAGCATTCTCGGATGGCATTTTTTTTCCTATACTACGTTAAGTAGTAAAAGGTATAGTAATAAATGCCTCTAAACAAAATCACTCCCGTGGAAGTAAAAAAAAATTTTCTCTTGAGCTACTTACGTAATTTCTCACTCCACATGGATTGTTGGGCAACTCCAATTCCGGCAGGATGGGAATGGAGTCTTGGTCGTTCTTGATGAACGGCGCGGGGGTGGTGATCGGCGGCACTATCGGGATCTGGGTCGAGATTGGTAGCACGCGTTGCGGGATCAGGTCGGAATCGTCCGGCACCAGGGGCACGACGTTCGTGGGCTGCAGCTCCTCCTGTATCTGCGGCGGCGCGACGGGCGGTCTGACCGGCGGCCTGGGGATCGTTTTGACGGGCGGCTGCGTGACCGGCTTCTTCGGCGGACGCACCTTCGCGATGTTCAGAAACGTCGGGAAGCCCTGCTCGTCGAAGCCGCCGGTGTAGTTGGCCGGTAGATTGCCCGTCGGCCACGGGTCCACGTAGTTCGGGTCGCGGCAACATTTGCCGATCGCCCCGGTCTCCGAGATTCTGCAGCTCTAGCGAAACGAACGACTCGCAATTACGCGATCCGATCGCTCTATTTTTTCTTTTTAATCGCGACAGTTTATTTTTATTTTATTAATTGCGGTATTTCTATCAGATAACATTATTACAGACTATGAGTGATTTAAAATGAGTACATTTGTAATGTTAAACAAGCGTTTCTAATCATTTTCATTTGATAAATGTCTTCTGAAAAAGTCTTTTATACTGCTTACACTTAACGGAACGCGTCGCAGGAGCTGATTGCTGGTAAGAGCAACTGGTTGCGGACTAATCATTCCTTCTAACGTGCAGTACTGCTCTTCTACGCAGAGCAGGGCGGCCGCGCATCCCATGTGAACCGTGAATTGGAAGACCGCGGGATTGGAGTTCGTAGCGATCGGTTTTACCGGGAAGACTGGCTCGCTATCACTGGTACCGCCTGCAATGCCAATCCATATTAATACGAAGAAAAGAAAAAAAAACATTGAAAGAAACCGACATCATCGCATACCTGTTTGGTACTGCTCCTGTTGATTCGTATCGGCAGGTATCTGATTGTAATCGATTGGTTCGATCGGCCTTACGTTGTCGTTATGAGGCCGATTAGCGGTCTGGTATCCATTGTCTGTCGGGGATTGCAGCTCGGCGTTATTTTCTAGCGGAGGCTTCAAGTTGGTCACGTCCGCCTGATTATTTTCCCCGTACGGGTAGTACTTCTCGTCGTTTTCCAAAGTAGGCTCCGGATATTGCAGATTGTCCGGATACCGATCGTCCTTCGGCACCGTGTTAATTTGATCGTACGGCGAATTATCCAAATCGTATTGCACGGTACAACAGACTTCGTGGCTGAGTTTGCACTCCTGCACCTGCGCGCGCAAATATTATAAAATTATTAAAGTCTGAATTGCGAGCTATCGAGGCCAATTAACATTAAAATGCGAACGCGAAAAGATTATTAATAACGTCAAAGAATAACCAAAAGCGCCTATCTCACCTGTCCTGGCCGAATAAAGCCTTGCTTCAGGGAGTGCACGTAGCCGTCGATGCAAAGACTTTTCGCCACGCAGATTTTATTTTTACCGCTGCAACTGATGGTGAAGCCGTCCACGGCGCTAGGATACTGCAGCGTTTGATCAGACTGATACGCATAGTCGGGATTAAGTTGCTTCTGCGATTCTGACAGAGCATGCGTTTCGTATCCTTGGAATGTATCTGCGGCAACTACACGTTATAATAATACAATAGGTAAGTTGCGTTTTTTGTTAAGCAAAGTTTTCTTATTATATAAGCAAAGTGACGTGGAAGCGCGGAGGTCTTACTTTGCTGCGATTGATCCCAATTAAATTGCGGTTGGCCAATTTGTTGCGGGACGATGTTATCTTTGTAAGTAGGATAGACGTTGTTTTGAGCTTGAGAAACACGATCGTCACCATACCAGACGAGCTTGTCTTCTGAAATGCGTCTTAATTAAAGACAAACGGCTGATTTCATTGAGAGATTAACTCGTATTTTCTTTCAGCAATTTTTAAATATTTGATCACAGAACAAAAAACTTAGCAAATAAAGACGGAGAAAAAAAACGAGACGTTTCTCAGACTTGACATTTCATAGAAAATTTGTAATAAAAAATTACAAGACAATATAAAATTCATCTTTATGATTGCGGTATCAAAAAAGAATAAGATATGCATCGAATTCCTTGCTTGTTTGCGTTACTCACGTGTCTGCAATTGAGGTGGCAGTTCTCCATAGGGGAGTCCACGTGCGTGCGTAGCTAACGCTACTATAACTAGTAGCATTTCTAGCGGTGGCCTCATCGTGGAAATCTGAAAGAGCAAAAAAAAAAGAAGACAATATTAAGTGATTAAGTGATATTATCCCGAGTTTTATATAATTCAATTTCATGCGCGCGGCGAGCGAGTAAATAAACGGAGATTCCATTAGCGTCAATTCTCGATGTCATGCGCGCGACGTTTATACGAGAACGAGAGGAAGAGAAGAAAGGAAAGATTTTTGAACGGCGGCGGCGGTCGCGACTGGTTCTTCTCGAATATCTCGTATATCGCATATGTGTGTAAACGCGCTGTAAAAGTTGTGCAAACTTTTGCAACAACGCTTTTTTCTTCTTCCGCCGCGACACGCGCAGGCGGGCGGCCGGCGCGGCGGCGCGGTGAATTATTTTAAGACCGAGAAGAATGATCGTTGCGCGAGGGTATTATATTAAAATTTTATTGCACTCCCGCTTTAGCCCGTGTTTTAGCAACCACCGACCCGAATGCGTGGAACGGATCGTTAGAACGCGGGCTACAAACAGGATACTCTGAGCTTCTAGCGGACGATCGCGGCGGAGAATTGCGGCTGCAGAAGTTGCAACGTGGGAACAAGGCTTCGCGTAGGAGTAATTCATTCGTGGCGCATCCGCGATCCTCCGCTAGACACCGGTGAGATTTATGAATTTATGGGCAGGGAAATATAAAGTATCGCCCCAAGTTTTCTTTTCTTTTTGTTCTTTTTTTTTGCGCAGTTTCTTCTTTGGAAATTTTAATGATCGGTACGAGCGAAAAAAGATCTCGGACCTCTGAGCTCTTGTGCGAGAGAAATAATTTGTCATTTAAATGTCACGGCTAATTCTTATTCGCTTAATATTTCAGGTTTTTAACGCAAACTCTCCAGTTGGAAGTTAATGACCGTATATAGATCGCAAGATCTGCGTATGAATCTACAATCTACATTATTCTAATGTAATCTAAATGTCGCGAGTGCTATCGTAGCATACGTGCAGACTGTCACGGACTATATCCCGGTAAAATCGTATGTACACAAACATCTCGAGATGATTATTCATCGATCGTGACATTCGGTCCACTACGAAATCCGCGACCGAGTGGCCAGATACGATTTTCGATACACCTTGTATGTTATTTCTAATATTGCGTAAGCGTGAGCGCGAGCGTGCGCGCGTGTGTGGGACGGGCAGATATCAACGGTGAGGCGTATGAATAGGAACACTTTCATATTCGTATCGCCTGGTATTTTCTAACGATGAAATAATCGCGTTCAAGGATCCGTTTGTGCGATCTTTTTGTTGTTCGTCTATTTATATGAAAATTATGCGTTATGCCCGAACCGCGTATGGAGTATCGATCCTTATTTACATGCCCGCCGAGTGTAGGTGCTAACACATCCTCCTGTCAGTGATGTCATCCCCGCTGGATTAGGTCAGGTCAGGGTCACAGCCGACAAACGAAATGGCCTGCGACGTGATAATCCAATTTTCATCCAGTTCAAGCTAAATGTCAAATTCCCTTCATTGATTCTATTATTCTATTCAAACGATCGAAATATCACATGGCAAGTGTAATATACTTCTTCTGAGAACTTGTAGGAATTAATTCAAATGAAAGAGTTTCAGTTTATAACGTTAATTCTGAAGAACTTGGAAAAGAAAAGAATAAAAAATGCAATTAAATCCAATGCTTCAACCGTAAGAGATAACGTCTCTATATATATATATAACGAGCCACACGTGAAACGTGAAATGTTCAACGATGTCGGCAAAAGTTGATTAATATGCATCCGACGTGTGTGTTACCGGACTACGCGACGTCTATCCTGCCTCGATCAAATTTTCATGAGTCACTCTCGCGTGCATCTCTGGTCGCACAAAAAAAAGGCGCCGTGGAATTCAAAACCCACGAGAGAGAGACGAACGTGATGAACTCATTATGGATTTCCCCCAGTCCCGTAGGTTTCCGATGATCTAAGGATTTGCTTTGCAATTCAGCGCGCGAACGCGATTTGCGTGAGAGTGACGCGCAAATTACACGCTGTTCGCGCCTAACATTATACCGTAAAAAATTCAATACAACACGCTCGTCTTATATATTAAGTTTATGCGATATATAACTCTTCGTGTGTGTTTTTTGAGATAACCGTCAGAGTCATAATCGTATAATACAAAATACTTTTTCCTTTGGAAAAGGAATTTGAGGAGAATCATTTGGGTGAAATCAAATTCCTCTGTGGTCACCAATATCAATAATTAATTTTAAAAAAATGTTTAAATCGCTTTCTACTCCTTTTCACTTTCTACTAGACAAATGAGTTTTTCAACTCCCACTATAGAATAGTGCTACTGCTTGGCGAACGTGGACTGGAATACTAAAAAAAAAATAATCTTGTAAATACAGTCAAAATTTTTTGGTTGCTAAAAATTAATTGAAGATAAATAATTAGCAAATACCGTGATGTCGTATATATTTAACCAATCTAAATGACAGAGACAAAATTTACATCTAAACTAGGAAATTTAGAAAGAAAACTTTTTCTGTCGTGCCTCTATTCATGTTGCCAATTAGACTCATTTGTAAAAATTGACTGTGATACACAAAAAAGAGCGACGAGACAAATAAATATATTTTTTAGAAAATATTGCTTAAATGTTGTTGCTATAAATTCTACATGTGACAAACAATATTTTAAACATAAAATAGGGATACAATATTTTGCGACACCTAGAAATATATCTACATCAGCAAAACACTTTTTTGGAGAGAAATACATTTCTAGGTATAATTTATTAAGAAATTAAGTAATTAACAATAGCTTATTTATAGATTATACAAATATATACAAATTTTACTACTTGTAACATTTTCCGACGTTTAAAAAAGTTGAATGATCCCAGCGTTCGTAATATTTCTTTCCTCCGGGCTTTCGCGACCTGAGTCTGTCTCGCAACCGGAATTTTTGCTTTCAACTTTCGAGCCTAAGGTACCGGCTTCCCGGCTGTTAAGGCGGCGATAAAAATAATAACACCGATCGCGAAGGATTAACGGCGCCACGTTCTGACCGGGAGAAAGTATATGCGAGGTATATATGCCGAAACGCCGAAAATTCACGATGCGTTCGATTTCCATGATAAGTGCTCACCGGTGGGCAAGGGACGGACACGCGGTCCCCCAACTGTCAAACATTCCCCTGCAAATGTATCCCCGGCCGCGCACTTTCACGTATACATTAGTGCTACTACTTTCTCCTTCATTGAATTACGCAGATTACCCGAGTATCGCACAAATCAGACTTGTCGAATTTCGCGCTTAATCCGGCGACCGTCCTAATGACGGCGGGTACGGAGCCGAAATTGAAATTAAGATCCGGGTGCGAGCTCTCTCGCGCACACGTATATACATATCTCCTCTTTTAGCACAGAAACCGTTTGAAAATTCTCTTTCCTTTTTCTTCTTACCTACCTTTCCCCCTCCCTCCCACTATCTCTCTTTTTCTCACTCTCTTTTTCTCTCTCCCTCTTTCTGTCTTGCGACATGAAAGCGCATAAATAATCCGCTGATTTTGACGCATTTCATCGAGCGTTTTTGTAATGTGGGTGTAATATGCATATACACCAGCGTAAATACTTAATATTCACGTCCTCATTAATAACGCCAATCGCCGACCGAATAGCTGCCAAGTAGAAACTTACTTTCGATTTGTCAATCAATAAGTACTTTCACCGATACCCGATATCTCGCTACATAATTAATATGGCCACGTAATTAACAGTCGGATATTGATTCCGTTATCGAGACGTATAATATACGTATTTTCTTATAAACACTCATGACTTTTTTCAGTAAGAGTCAATTATTCCAGGTAATAAAAAGCATATATATTTTCAAATCATTACATAAGTAGTCATTACATGGGTATGTATGGTACAAAAAAAAAGACAAATTTACTTTACGTCAAAATAATCACTCTATAAAAGTTTCTTTCGATTTTAATTACCTACAGAACTTTATATCCTTAATTTTCAGTATTTCCCGATTGTTGCATTTATTGCTGTATGTAACGTTCAGTAGATAAAATAATCAGATCTAAACGAGTTTTAAGCGTTTTCTAAATTCTTCCTGTTTCTACGATATTTATAATTGTTTTTCTAAGTGTATATTTATACACTCAACTCAGGAAAATAAGCCAAGAAGACACTTGGTGTCATCGTAAACATGTTTTCGTAAATGGCATTTATAATCGTTTTACGTTGCTATTCGAGTAGGTACCGCCAGGTAGAAGCCCTCTCGATGAGTAAAGTATCTTCGAAAATACGACATTTAGGAGCTTTCTTATGTCGAGCCTTTTGAACTATTCGTCGAAATGTCAGCGCGGTGCGCCTGATATTTTAGCTGCCTAGCACCTCATCAATCACAAATTCGAATAAATGGAATACCTCTCCTTTTCCTCTACAGCGACTAATAAATGGGCGTCTAATGAAGTCTACAGTCTGCCCCTCGTTGCGTCAGAGCGAATATTTCGGATCGGCGTTACGCCGAAAAAAAAAAAGATCGATCACGGGGAGTATCGTACGATTTTCTATTATGTCTATGTCATCTATTATGTCTATGGTGCTATGCGGACGTACATGATGTTTCTGAGTTGTCTGAATTCCAGGCCGTGCATGCACCTCGCGAAAAAAAATGAAAGAAATAAAAAAAGCCCGCGGCGTTCATCGATCTAACTTTCCAAAACGGTTGTCTGATAACGCGTTGTAGCTGTTCGGTAACGGCGTTATCCTTCGATCTCGCGTACCGCAGCCTCCTGTGAGATGAGGTCCGGCGACAGCCGAGATGAGACGATACGCGCGATTGAAAATGCGAAGCACATAAAAACGAATAAAATACTGCATTCTTTTTTTATGCGAATGTCTAAATGCTCGGCTGCAGTTCTTTACGTTCCCGTTCAGGCAATCCTGTTGCGCCAGCAGTAACGGTCGTAATTCTCCTTGTTCAAGATATTATAAAATCGGCATTTTCTTTTACTCCGAGATTAG